TGCCCAAAGCCACACAGCTGGAAAGTTAATGGCAGAGATAAGTGTTCCTATACTGCTTTTGAAATGATCAGATAATGGAGTCCAATGTGGGTAAATTTCCAAGCTCAGCTCAATGGGTCTCAAATCCAACCATTAGTAGAAAGATATAACTCACACAGCCAAATATCTGGGTCTCCTACCTCTGTGCCAGCAGCATAGCCAGCACCAAAGACGTCTTCCATGATGTAGCATATACTTTCAACACTTCCACCTTGAAGTAGAATGATGAAGTGTTGACAGAAGAAACAGTATCACCCTAGTGATGGACAAGTAAAGATGGCCATTAAAAAAGGCCAATGATATGTTTGATGAATATAAACAACTGAAACTAAGGTATATCTTCATTCAGTTTCAGAACAGTGCGGACAAAATTATCTAAAGTGATGCAAGACAAAGAAAAATGTTAAAAGTCAAAACAAGTTATAAATAAAGAAATGAGAAACAGAATGATTCACATTTCTCAGTAGCGACACTGAATGCTAGAACACGGTGGTGTAAAAGATAATTGCAAAACTCTGACAGAAAACAATTTTCAGCCTATGTTTCTCAACCAACCCAAGCTACCAGTCAAATGCAATTTTCATTTCTGCCAGGATCTAAACCCTTTATTTCCATTTCACTCTTCCTAAGGAAGTTCCTGGATAATGTGTATCAGCAAACGACAGGAGAAAGTCGAAAAGGGAAGGAACGGCAGGATTCAGAAAATAGGCAATCTGACTCAGAATAACAACAACCAAAAAAAGCATCAGGATAACAACTGTATGGAGCAACGAGTTAGCAACCAGGCCAGACTGAAGCAGGAAGACTCCAAGGTTCATTTTCAGCTACTGCCAAAACACAGACTGTGGCTACACTAAATGAGAAACTCATCCAGAACATCATCTAGCGTCAGTTCACATGATCAGAAACCCAGATCCAGCCTGGAGAAGATGACCTCCTTAAAAATAATCTAGATGACTCAGAGGCTTCAGATATAGGTACCAACCAAACGATAAAAGTCTGCTGATTACCTAACAGCCATTCAAAAGAATGAGGCAGTTCTTGTAATGCCATGATAACTCCTGTAAGACTCATCCTTCACAAATCACAAATATGAACTCTGGACCAAAAAAAAAAAAAAAAAAGTTTAAAGTTTATCTTTAATGGGCTGAAAAGCAACCAAAAGAAGGCAGAATCTACGGGGAAGTAAACACTTGCATGAAAGGTAAGTTTTCTGTTTCTATAGATTTTTGCCAAAAAATAGATCACAGTCAAGTAGAAACCCATGAAGAATTGACTAAAAAGTTAGCGAGGATGTCTCAGAAAAAGGATATCCACAAAATGGCAATCCAAAATTCTGCATGCAAATCTGTCCCAGTCTCTGGTTAATGCCTGAACTATGCATGAGAGAAGCACTCCAATCAGCCATGCTAAGGGTAAAAGAACTGAACAGAAATTTCCATTTTTGTCAAACAGAAGAGAACAGAATTCAGAGGTTGAATTTACCAAGTTAAATGCCAGTGAAAACAAAAACCCAATCACCCCTCAGAGAGATAACCAAAATCCAGACATACCCTTGACAGTGTCTAAGACACAATGAAAAAATTACTAGGTATGTAAAGAAAATAAATAACATGACCTATAGTCAAGAGAACATCAGTATGGCAGCTGCCTGGCTCCAAGCTCTGAACTCCTGATGTGAAGACATATTTTGAGCTTACCTGGATGATAGAATTCATGAACAGGGATTTAAAGCATGTTCAAGGACATAAAAGAAAATATTACTGTAATGAAGAAAACAAATGGGAATTCACAACACAATAATGGAAACTATAAGAAAGAAATGGAAATTTGAGAATTAAAATGGCAATATTTGAAATTAAAAAAAAACCTCACTGAATGAGCTTGGAGCAGATTAGAGATAACAGAAGAAAAATTCAGTAAACTTGAATTTACGGCAATAGAAATTTTAGTGTCTAGCGAATGGGGCGGGGGGGTGTGCAAAAAGAATAACAGATTCCAGTGGTCTATAGATAAATATCAAAAGACAATAGCTGTTGGAAACTTGGATTTTGAGGTAGAAATGTAGAGCACAAGAAATAGTGAAGTGTAGATACATATTAGAGATTTTCCTTAATTCCTTGTAGTACACACAACCGGTGAAAGCAAAAATTTCAGCACTGCATTGCCGGGCATGTGGCAGATAGACACAATAAAGATGACAACAATACCACAAAAGACGAGGTTGGAGAGAACAGGCCCACGTAGTCGCAAAGTTTTATATTTTCAATGAATCTTTACGATATTAATCATAAGTATACTGTAAAAAGTTTAAAATGAGTATGATAATTTTCAGCCAATCACTAAAAGAAAAAAATAGAGAGATACCTGAAATGTCAATAGTTAACAAGTCAAAATAGATTGTTTTCAAATAATTAAATAGGGTCTATCCCAGGAACAAGCTTGCTCAATACTCAAAAATCAGTCACTGCAGAGGCGCTCGGGTGCCTCCGTTGGTTAAGCACCTGACTTGATTTCAGCTCAGGTCATGATCCCAGGGTCGTGGGGTCCATCCCCGGGTTTGGCTCTGCACTGAGCATGGGATGCCCTGCTTGAGATGATCTCTCTCCCTCTGCCCCTCCCCCACTTGCACACGCACTCTCAGTCTCTCTCTCTCTAAAATAGAAATTAAAGGGGTGCCTGGGTGGCTCAGTCGGTTGAGTCTCCAACGCCGGCTCAGGTCATGGTCTCACGGTCCGTGAGTTCGAGCCCCGCGTCGGGCTCTGTGCTGACAGCTCAGAGCCTGGAGCCTGCTTCTGATTCTGTGTCTCCCTCTCTCTGACCCTCCCCTGTTCATGCTCTGTCTCTGTCTCAAAAATAAACATTAAAAAAATAAAATAAAAATAAAATAGAAATTAAAAAATTAGGGGCGTCTGGGTTTCTCAGTCGGTTAAGCGTCCGACTTCGGCTCAGGTCATGATCCTGCGGTTTGCAGGTTCGAGTCCCATGTCAGGCTCTGTGCTGACATCCCAGAGCCTGGAACCTGCTTCGGATTCTGTGTCTCTCCCTCTTTCTACCCGTCTCCTGCTCATGCTCTGTCTCTCTCTGTCTCTCAATAATAAATAAATGTTAAAAAACGTTTTTTAATAAACTAAAAAATTAAAAAAATAAGTCATTATCATTTACCTTATTAGCACATGTATAAAAACTACAACAGTTATCACTAGAGATAGAAAAAACACTTAATAAAATTCCATATCCATTGTTGATAGGAACACTCAGAGAAGTGGGAACAGGACGAACTTCCTCAGTCTAACGAAGGACATCTGCAAGCAGCCAACAATTAACAGCATAATGAATGGCAGAAATATTCAACACTTTAGCTCCAACATGATAGACGAGTCAATAACGTTCACGCACAGCACTTCTGTCCCACAGAAGGCAGCTAGGCAGCACATCCAGGCAAGAAAAAGACGAAAAGGCTGAAGAGTAAATGATAAGGGAAAATATTTTAAGAGATGAAATCACCATTTATATTAAAATATCAAAAGAAACTACAAAATTATGAAATTAATAAGTGAATTTATTAAGGGCATGGGCTATAATATTAACATGCAAAAATCAACTGCAGTTTATATGATATGGCAAACAATGGGATAAATGAGTTTTAAAATTTGAATTTAAAAGAATATAAACAAGCCCAAAGTATTTAAGAGCAAATTTAACAAAAGACATGCAAGACACTGAGAATCTGTATACTGAGAAGCAAAAAGCGTTACTCAGAGAAATGGGAGACAACTTTATTACTATTTTTTTTAGGTTTTCTTCACTTATCTCAAGAGTGAGAGAGCACATGAGTGGGGGAGGTGCAGAGAGGGGGGGGGCGAGAGAGAGAGAGAGAGAGAGAGAGAGAATCCCAAGCAGGCTCCACAATGTCATGCAGAGCCCGATGTGGGGCTCGAACTCACAAACCGTGAGATGATGACCTGAGCTGAAATCAAGGGTTGGAGGCTCAACCGACTGAACCACCCAGGTGCTCCGAAAGACAACTTTGCAACATGGGATAGATCATGTTCACAAATTGGAAGTCTGGATGTTGTTAAAATGAGCGTTCTCCTCAAATTCATCCATGGATTCAACAAAATCCTAATTCTTGAACCAACTGAGTTTTGGTGGGGTTTGTTTGTTTGTTTAACTAGAAAGCTTATTCTAAAATGTATATGGAAATGCAAAGGTTCTGTGAGGAGGTGAGAAATGGTTGAAAGCCTATGTGTGATCTTTCAGGCTTCACCAGTGGCAATTACCCAAAGGGTAGCACCTATGTGGTGCTCCATAATGACAGGTGGGGACGCGGTGGATAGGTGGCGGATGGATGGCAGGTGAATGTTACGCCTTGGGAGTGAAGATCCATCCTAAGTGAAGAGCCACACAGCTCCACTAGGGGGCAGACGGATTTTCGGCACATTCTGCAGAGGCTCCTCCTCCTACTACAGAAGGGAAACAGACGCAGTAGGAAAGGAAGACCACGCTGGGGAGGAGAGATGAACCTGAGTTTGCCTTCTCAGTGCCTTTTCTCAGGGAAGGTGAGAGGCTATCACCTAAAGATGCTGACTTGCCTGCTACTTCTCCTGGGACAAGGTATGAGTCTGATCCCACTGGGAAGTTTGGGGTTAATGTTGATGCCCAGTGGAGGAGCAGAGGGTCTGAGGCCACCCATCAGAGGATGAGGGAACTGGATTAGTGGATTAGTAGATTCTGATGGTATAAAAGTTGGAAGAACAAAATGGAGGCCGTGCCAGGGATCCAAAGTGACATTAAAGCAAATAGTGAAAAGACCTTCCTGCCTGGGGACGAGCTTGTCAGCTTTTTCTCTCTCTCTCTCACTGGAACTAGACACTGTGTTCAGCGCTCTCCTCTCTCAGAAGCCACACAGAGACATCTGTCAACGCGGGACCTCTGTGACAATCCACTGTGAGGTCGATATCCAGTTCACCTTAATGTTCTGGTACCATCAGCTCCCAGGACAGAGCTTGGTGCTGATGGCAACCACAAACCAGGGTCTGGAGGCCACTTACAAACATGGATTTACCAAGGACAAGTTTCCCATCAGCCGCCCAACCCTAGTGTTCTCAACTATGACCGTAAGCAACGTGAGCCTTGAAGATAGCAGCTTTTACTTCTGTAGTGCCGGAGACACAGTACTCAGCACGGATCAGAGGTCTGAGCAAGAACCTCAGCCAGCTCCCTCCTGTCTGGCTCCCACCGGATGAACCCAAGGCCCCAGCCAAGGCAGGTGGGAGGGGGAAACCACAGCTCTAGCTGTTCCCGTGCTTGTGGGCAGGTCTGGGTGTGAAGGGGAAGACTGGCCACAGGGAGAGAATCTGCAGGACGAACTGGGGGGGACTCCAGCCAGACACAGGAAGTATAGCTGTCAGGAGGCTAAGGATAAAATTTCCTTCGTAAGAGTATTTAGAAGTACTCGGGAAAGACCATTGGACACAGTTTGCCTTCAAGGGGCAGGGTCAGAAATCCCCTTCAACTATTTTATCTCAGAGCTCTATTTGGCTCGTTTTCTACTGATATACTTCAGAAGGCTCTTAGCCATCTTGCTATCATACTGGTCCATTAGACTGATGGCATTTTGCTGGTTGTTCTTGGTTACCTGGAATCATAAAGCACTCGAGATGCCTCAGTATGCCATATGCAGGCCGGACCAACGTAAAATCTGCAAAAGTTCAGGGACCTGCCACATTGATGAGCTTTTGAGTGGTCCAAGGTCTAGGACGTGTTTGATTATACCCTCTTAGCTGCTAAACCTTATACTGTCTGCCAAGGAGAGAGGCGTGATGCTGAGAGGGCCTCTCTAGACTTGGGAGTTACCATATACCACAGTTGGGTGTGCCAGACTGGTCCATTTGCTGTGTAATCTGTAAGGTGAGGGAAGTGCAAAAGGGGGTTCCACAGAACAAGGCGGTGATTAAAGCTGCCTCGGGTCATACACCAGGCAGGTCCATCGTTCTCCAAGTCCCTGTGGCGGGACGGGAGTGCCCCCAGCCTTCCCCAGTAAGAGACGCACTGAGCAGACGCAAGGAGTTTTAGCGCGAAGCCACACTCTTCTATCCGCCAACAGCTGTTTGTCCTTTGGAGAGCACCCTAGATCTTTGTGTCACGTCACATCATGGCAGTCAGAACTGTGTGTTAGCTGCCCCTCGGATCTGTAAAGCTAGACATGCACAGAGTAGATACACAAGCCCAGTCTCAATTCACTCTCAAGAGCAAGCGTGAGTCTCAGGGTTGCTCCGACCCCACCCGTCTTTACCATCAATCCACACCCAAGGCTGCATGGGAGTGTCCTAGTTCCAGCTGAAAAACCCTGGGCCCGTGTTCTGGCCCAGGTGACACGTTTCCCTGGAATCATCAGTACAGTGCCACACAAGTGTGGTCGGAAAGGGAGTGGTGACGATGATCATCTCAAGGGGCTAGAACTTCAGCCTCTAAATCTAGGTGTTCCCATTTTATGGGAGGAAAGATGGCCCGAGGTGTAGTTCTAACCTGTGTTCACATTTCTTTCACACTGCCATTTAGACCTTTTTTTTTTTTTTAATTTTTTTTTCAACATTTATTTATTTTTGGGACAGAGAGAGACAGAGCATGAACGGGGGAGGGGCAGAGAGAGAGGGAGACACAGAATGGGAAACAGGCTCCAGGCTCTGAGCCGTCAGCCCAGAGCCCGACGCGGGGCTCGAACTCACGGACCGCGAGATCGTGACCTGGCTGAAGTCGGACGCTCAACCGACTGCGCCACCCAGGCGCCCCTATACCTTTTAACTGTTCACTCACATTTTCCTTCTATTTGCTTCCCTGTGGTGCATTCTGGGTCATTTCTTTGGAACCAGCATCCAGTTTACTAATTCACTCCTCAGTTCCAATAAGCCATTTAACTCTTCAGTTGACCTTATCTAGTTAAATTATATTTTTGTTTCTAGAAATTCTACTTGGATCTTTTACAAATATGAGCGGTCATTTTTGAAAGCATCTTGCCCTTGTATATTTTTATTATTATTATTTATGTTTTCTTTAATTTTAGAGATAGAGAGCATGCAAGGGGGGAGAGGGGGAGAGGGAGAGAGAGAGAGGGAGAGAGAAAGAGGGAGAGAGAGAGAGAGAGAGAGAGAGAGAGACAGAGAGAGAGAGAGAGAGAGAAAGAGAATCTTAAGCAGGCCCCACACTCAGTGCAGAGCCGGACACATGGCTTGATCCCACGACCCTGGGCTTATTGTAGAAATTGAGAATGAGATGAAATCATCCACATAAAACACAGAACACTATGCCTGATAGAGACAAAACAGACAATTAATTTAGTCCTGCCTAAATTTCTTTCTCACTATAATATATGAAATTTCACCACTAGTAATTCTTTCCTCAAGGTTAGGTATTGCCCTCGCTGGGAACATTTTATTTATTATTGCCATTGTTTCTCTTTCTTTTAGCTGTTTGAATCACAAAATCCATGCATATTTTTGCAAAATGTAAACTCACTCATTTAAGTAAAGTGAGATCATACAACACATACTGCTTTATAACTTACTCTCTTAATATTCCACAAATACCATTTCATGTCAAAAAATCTACATTAAGTTTTGTAAGACCATTTCAATATGTTGATGGTCAATTTTTACAATTAAAACCAATGGCAAGGTAAATATCATATGCTAGATGACAGGGTTGTTTAGTTTAAAAAGCAATGGTGTATGTGTTGATTTATTTCTGTTACAGACTCAGCAGGGAATAATGAAAGCCCTCCCTACTCTTCCTTTACGTGATTGGCCCCTTCTTTTTTATTTTTCTAAAGTTGATTTATTTATTTTGAGAGAGAGAACACGAGTGCACAATCAGGGAAGGTCCAGAGAGAAGAAGAGACAGAATCCCAAGCGGACTCTGCACCTTTAGCACAGAGCCCGATGCGGGGCTGAAACTCATGAAACGTGAGATCGTGACCCAAGCCAAGATCTAGAGTCAGACGCCTAACCGACTGTGTCACCCAGGCACCCCATGACTGGCTCCTTCTTATGTGAGGTCTCAAGTTCAAATCTCATCTCCCCCAAAGAGGTCTTTCCTGACCCCCTTACCTAATATAGCACTTGTGAACCCAGAAGCCGCTCACATTTATTACCACTCTATCCTATTTTAACAATACCTAAGCACCATAATCTGATATCAATATACCTCCTCACATATGTGTAGCCACACCCAGAAATGCAGATAAATGCCATGAAAGGACATTTCCTATCTTCTTCATTGCTATTTCCTTACAGCTTAGAAAAACTGCAAGAATGCTTCAGGAATTCAGCCAATGTTTACTGAGTGTTACAGACTGAAATGCGCTCCAAGATTCGTACAAGTACAGCCCTAAGCCCCGGTACTTTAGAATGTGATTACATTTGGAGATTTGGTCTTTAAAGATCTAATTAACTTAAAAACGGGGCCATGAGGATGGCCCTAATCCAAACTGGCTGGTATCCTTATCAGAAGAGATTAGGACATCCTAGAAGGGACACGAGGATTGTACCCACAGAGGAAAGGCCACATGAGGACACAGTGAGGAGAAGGCCATCTACAAGCCAAGGAGAGAAGCCTCAGGAGAAACCAATCCTTCTGATACCTTGATCTTAGATTTTTAGTTCCCAGAACTATGAGAAAGTAGATTTCTGTTGTTTAAGACACCTAGTCTGTATTATTTTGCTTTGGTGGCCCTAGCAAACGAATATATTGAGTAAATAAATATGATTCAAAAGAAAAGAGAAAATTTTGCCAGGGGGGTATGGATTTCCCAGGAGAAAAAGAGCTTAGACAATGTAATCCCATTAGCAAATGAACTGAATTGTTCTAACAGGGACGAACTGATGCTTTGACTTTTATGTTTGAAGAGAAAGGCGGCCCCACAACGTGCCAGTCCCCTCTGCTGCGTTCCCAAGGCTGGGAAAGGGAACAGATGTGATGGGTTCTAGAGACCTAAGCCCAGAACCTGCTCAAACACAGTGGCTCTGAAGTGGATTGTCCTCAAATTGGAACGGTACAGGTGCCTGTGTGAAGTGAGCACTCCGTGCTGAGCCTTGGAGATCCTCTGGGCAGGTTGGCCAATAAGAAGTGGACAAATTAGAGGCTGCCTTCCAAACGGACAACACATTCTAGAGTTTTTATAATCCAAATGAGTGGACAGAGCCCAACTGACTGATTGGGCTTATCACTGAACTTTGCTTGTGGAGTTCAATCTGGATCTAATATGATTTAGAAAGATAAATATACATGCCATTAATTAAATCTGAGTATCATGGGACAAGTCATGACTGCTACAATAATAACAGCCCACATGCCTATTCCTTTTGGACTCTCTCCTGCCTTTCTTCTGCTTACTACCCTCCAATAGATGCTGGAGCCACTTAAGCAGCTCTAATAGGCTCAGGGACGAGACAAGGAGGGGTGGAAATGTGAACAGGAAGGCCATAACATTACAGGAACCAGTCTTTCATTAGCTAGTGTTAAAGCCTTAATTGCCAGAGACTTCCCACTTACCCCTCTAAAGAAACCTGAAGAATAGATAAAATATGCAAATGGAACCTTGCTCTGGGCACAAAACTTGATCTTCCTTGGCTTCAAGGTGGGGAGCAGGACAAGGGGGAGAGAAAGGGTGGACACCCCCATTTAGCCAATCAGCTATGGCCAGCCTATGCCTCCACACCTCTGTCTCAGCCTTCACGTTTTTCTGGGCCACACAAAGTGCCCCCCTTCACTATCAAGAGTCAGTGATTCCCAGGCTCAGATATTCAAGAAAGCAGTTCTTATCGGATGAGAAATTGTGCCATGGTGAAAATATGTGGTTTAGAAAAAAATAACGGAGGAAGAAAAAAGCTGGAAGTTTAAAGAGAAGACAGCTCGGAATTGGACAATGTGGTTAGAGATCAGTAAAGGACACTGGGCCAAAAGGGGAGTTGACTACAAGCGGAGGAGAAATACCTGAGCCTGGTCGGGGGTAGGGGTGGGCTTGGGAGAAAAGGGTTAAAAAAAAAAAAAAACCCACAACTAGTGACTTGGAATCTGACCAAAATCTACTTTTCAGACCACTGAGATGTCCCAAAGACCCCAGTGTGTAGCAACACAATGGGAAATAACTTAGCTTGTGTAGGGAAAGCCTCTGGTGTCAACTCCACATTCATCAGCCAAGTGACCCTGGAGAAGTCACTGACCTCTGAGCTTTAGATTCTTTATGGTAAAACGGAGAAAACGGTGTCTGTTGCCTAACTCATGAGGCTGCACTGCGGATCAAATAAAGAAGAAGGGAAGCGAATATTCTATGGTAGAGCAGGCGGGTTCTAGAGTCAACTATCATGCTTAAATCCCATCTCTACAACTTACTGGCTGTGTGACCTTGAGCAAGTTACTCCACCTCTACATGGCTCATTTCATCATCTACAAAATGGGCAACCTCATGGGTAGTTGTTATAGTAAAGTGAAACAAAAAGGTCCATGAAAGACTGAGACGATGTTTGGGATAGTAAGCACGAGGAAACTATTCACAGTTACCGTAATTAAAAGCCGGTGGTTTGATACGCTAATCGTGAAATACGAACTAGGAGAATGTCTTAGAGAAATGCTCAGAATGAAGAGTGTAAGAGCTGCACAGACTTATCCATATTGAATTTGGGCAAAGGGGCACCTGAATCCATCCTACATGCCTGAGCCTAAAGCATAAGGTAATAGTGTCACTTACAGCTATTTTCTCTGCCTAGAAGGTGATTCCTGCTACGTTCAAGAAAACTGACTTCGTGCTGTGTTGTGGGTGTAATAGTTTATTCTGAGGAAGAGCACAAAATATCAGGAAAAAGCTAGTCTTGAGGCTTTAAACACAGAAAGTCCTCAAGCTCTTGGGTGTTCCCTTTCAGAGTCAAAGCCACAAGCACCTATCCAGAAATGTTCTCCCTGCTCCCCAGTTTCCTACCAAGGATCCCCTTTTCCTAGTGCACCTCTCCAGGGAACACTGGACGTGTTCCTCTCTTTATCCACTACAGCAGGGCTTCCTACGAACACCCCACAACAAAGGGATAAAATAGCATATTTGGTGACGTTACGGGGAAAGCCCCTACTGTCAAGGTTCCACAGCCGGGGGCAGCCACCCAGGAGCACAGAGAGATATGCCATCCATGCCTTGGACGTGGCAAGGTAAGGCTCTGAGACCGGGTGCCAGGTAGAGGACTAATTAATCTTCTATTTCTGCCAGGGAGCCAAGCATCAGGAGGGATCAGGAGGTACGTTTTGTCCTCTGGGAGCCTCTGGCTCGATCCCAAATCGACATTCCCTTAGATGGCACCTGCAGCAATTCCCAGACTTCCAACACTTTCCACGTCTTCCAGTAGCCTTGAGGCCAGCTCTGCCATTTTTAGATGTACGTTCTTGGGCAACACCGAACCTTGCTGATTCTCAGTCTCTTCCTCTAGAAATGGAAATAATTTCTTTCTGCACATTTCACAATTAAAACATTTGTGAAAAGCCAAATTTGAAACTCAACACAAACGAAGCTCAGCATGCCACTGCTGTTTGTGTGTGAAAGCTCGTTAAAAGCTGTCAGGCACTGTACAAATATAGCACCTTCCCCCAGAGGTGTGAGCCCACCAGGATGAGAGGGGGTGCCATAGGCAAGGCCAGAGCTCTGAGCAGCGGCTCCCCTGTTGTGGAGAAGCTGGCCTCCAGCCATGCCAGGCACCGGACCGGCCTATGGGCCACTCCCAACACCACGAGTCCCACGATAGTGTTTTCCCCAACTTCTGCCAGTTTCCATTTACTCCATTCCCCCAGCCTACTTCCTGTCTCACCACCAGACTCCTCGGCCTTTTTCACCTTGCTCGCCAACGCCAGAAACTTTCCTCGCTTCCACCTTTCAGAGAATTTGAACATGGACCATGCCCGCTCCAGCTCTTCACCACCCTGGAGCTCAGAGGAGCTGAGAAGGAGAAGTGTCTTCACCAGACAGCTTCTCCACCTGGTTCACATAATTACACTTGAGCACAGACACTGGCTCCGCCTCTAGTCCCCTCTGGTCAGGTTATGCCTCAATAGGTTACAAGGTTGTGTCTTGGTGGGTGGTGGCAGGTCCCAAACTGAAGTCATTCCTGGGAAAATGAACTCTGGGCTGAGGCCAGTACAATAGTCCCACTGCATCTAACATAGAAAATTCCAGAATTCCCCCATTCCTTTGTTGTTACCAATGATCAAATACTCGACCCCTTCACTATGTGCTAATCTCTCTACCTACTGCTGGTTCTCTGATCAGAACCCACGTTTACCACTTTCAAACCCTTTTTAGTATCTGATCTGGAGCACACAATTGGACCTCAGGCTGCCAGCCCCCAGCAGGTGGGGGAAGTTTTCATCACACGGGAGCAGCTTCCCAGGGCAACCAAGAGGTTGCTGAGAGAAAACCCAAGACAGTGTGAGTGATGAGAAAGATCGGCATCGTGATAGGGATGACGAGGAGGGATATGGTGTTGACCTTCTGTCCTCCAAATACATCAGGCAAATGCCTACTTCATTTCTCCCTCCAAACGCTCCTGTCCACAAGCCTAGGTAGGAAGGAAAGCCAGCTGAAAGCCCAGATTCCCAAGAAACTCTGCCTCTCCCTTCTCATCAGCTCTTGACATTGGGATGCTGGTTTCCTTGAGTGTGGCCTTCCTACCCAGTGGTTTAGACTTGGGAGAAGGGTGTTCGTGCTTACAGATACAAGACTTAGACAAGACTTCTCTCCCCTTGTGGGGGCTTCAGGTTACCAGCAGCCAAGTTTGCTTCCAATACCAGCTCTTGCTCAGAGTTCAATAAATCTCCACGAGGTCAGAGGGCCCAGGCCATTCTTCCTCCTCCTCTCATCTCAGCTTAAGAAGGTCCAGCTGTGACATATGGGGGTTTGGCTTCTTCCCCTCACCCCAGAACCCTCCCAGGAGTCAGCTGCTCTTCCTCTCTGCCCTCACAAGGTAAGCTTTCTTATCACCAGCGGGTCACGAATCCACAGATGGCCAAACACAGAGCTGAGGCAAGGCCCCGGGAAGGGAAAGTTACAGGTGTGTTTGTCCCGGGAGGAGCGGTGACCCTCCACCCTCACACACACCCCTCGCCCACATTTGGGGAGGTATAAAAGCGTCCCCACTACTCACTCAGTTCTACTTCTGCCACCATGACTCCACTCCTGATCCTTGCTTTCGTGGGAGCTGCTGGTGAGTCCCACGTGTGGCTTCGGGCCCCACTCACCCCTCTCCTGGCAGAGACACCTGCTCTACCTTTGCCGGTCTTCTGTGTTTACCTGGGTTCTGATAGTCTCTCTCCCCTGCCAGGGAGCCCTCCTCCTCATTCTTGGGCTCTCTGTAAGACTCTCCCACCTTGTGCTGACCTCACTCCCAACCCCATCATCGACCCATTTAGGACTTTGTTGGGAGGGGCTGGAAAGGGAGACCAGGTGCCAGTCATCCATGAAATGAACCCGGGGTCTTGAGGCTTAATTCTGGCAACTCTGGGATAGCTCCCCTATAGCTGTCCTCAACCTCAGGTATGCCTAGACAAGTTGAAAGAATACTCATGCCAGACTCCTATCCTTAGAAATTCTGATTTAGTTGGCCTGGTGTGTGGCCTGTGCATTGAATTTTTTTTTTTAAGTTTATTTATTTATCTTTGAGAGTGAGCAAGAGAGCAAGAGTGAGCAGGGAAGGGGCAGAGACAGAGGGAGAGAGAGAACCCCAAGCAGGCTCTGGGCTGTGAGCACAGAGCCCTCTGCGGGGCTCGATCCCACAACTGTGAGATCATGACCTGAGCCGAGATCAAGAATCAGACACTTATGTGACTGAGTCACCCAGTAGCCCCTGTGTATTGAATTTTTTAATTTCCTAAAAGACTTTAGGGTTCCCAAGTGTGTAGCCAAGGTTGGGAATCACTGTTCTATTAGGCAATAACAGTTGGTCTGCCTTTGTCCTGCCTAATGGGCCTGGGGGCTCCTGTAGATTTTTAGCTATGGGAAAAGCTGGGTACAGCCAGGGCTACTTAGCCAGATTTTCCTCTCTAGGCCAATCCATCCTGACAATCTGGGGCTCAAACAGCCGTGAGGAGTAGAGCAATGATGGATGAGAAGCATTCAGTGGATGAGAAAACCACATTCAGACCTGTGTCACACCGAGTGTAGTGTGAGGCATGTCCTGTGTTCTTGCCCGGTGCCCCCGGCAGAGGTCTGGGCCTGAGCCCCAGCAGGCACCGGGCTATGTGCCCTGCAGACACACGGAGAGGCTCAGGAGAGAGCTATGCGCTCGGGCACCTACTGGGGATGTAACGCCCCCTGCCTGCCAGTCTGTCATCTCTGCGCCTGTTGAGGACTCCTGATTAGCATGATCCAACCACAGGGCTCCAGGCTCCCCCTGCCCACATCCGCTGAATTGGCTTCTCCCTTCCTTTCTCCGTTCAAGTTGCTTTCCCCACTGACGACGATGACAAGATCGTTGGGGGCTATACCTGTGAGGAGAACTCCATCCCCTACCAGGTGTCCCTGAACTCGGGCTACCACTTCTGCGGCGGCTCCCTCATCAGTGACCAGTGGGTGGTGTCTGCGGCTCACTGCTACAAGTCGTGAGTGCTGGGTCCCCCACACCCAGAGCCCTCTCGGGTGCTGGGTCAGCCCGGGAGTGCGGAGGTTGGAGAAGATGGGTGAATGGAGAGGCAAGGTTGTCACCAGCCACCCACTCACAGAAGTGAGGGGGCAAAGAGGGGCACTGGATAGAAAGCCTCTCCCATCCAAAACAAATGGATGACACAGCAAAGGCTATGGGTCAGAAAAGTAGGGAGGGACTCTTTTGGGGGTGGTGAGGTCCAATGGGAAAGCAGCAAGGACCTTGCATGAGTCTCCTCTGCCAGTTGACTACCCATTGAAACCACCTAAGATCTGTTCAAAAAATAGTGACGCCTGGGTCCCATCCCAGGGCACTTAACTCAGAATTTTCAGGAAGAGGGGTTTGAACACTGGTGAGTTCTTAATGCTCTCCACCTCTGGTGACTCTATCCTGTGGCAGAGCTGAGGATCATTGCCTGGACCAAGGGTTCTCCATCAGAATCACCTGAAAGGCTTGCTAAACCATGGACCACTGGGTCCCACACCAGAGCTTCTGATTCAGCAGATCCGGGGGTGGGGGCGGGGGCGGGGGTGGGGACCAACCCTCTGTACTTCTAGTAAGTTTCCAGGTGATGCTGAGGCTGCAGGTCCCAGGGCAACAGTTTGAGAACCACTGGGTGAGCTCATACAGGATGATGGCACTTACCAGACCAAGAAGGGAGGGAATAAGGTCGCTGCATGTAGGTAGCGAAATGACAGAGGCTGAGGGATGCATGGGAAGCTTCTAGCAGGTCATTTGTGCCTGTGGTGCCAGGTGCATGGGGGTTTGTTGGGGAAAGCAGGCTGAGGAGCAGTCCCCACTGGGTCCCTTCACCTCATCCCTGCTCCATGACCACCCACCTCTCAAGCAGAAAGTTCTTGGTCTCACACCTGCACTGACCCACCACCCCTCTCCTGCCTGGTGATATTGCTACAGTCCTACCCATGAGCAGGAACCTGGAGAACCCTGGGGAAAAGTGGGCATATGGACAAGAGGGTTTCCCCACACTTCTCTTCCCAACAGTCGCATCCAAGTGAGGCTCGGAGAGCACAACATCGAAGTCCTGGAGGGGGATGAGCAGTTCATCAACTCGGCCAAGGTCATCCGCCACCCCAGATTTAACCGCTGGACCCTGGACTATGACATCATGCTTATCAAGCTCTTCTCACCTGCAGCCCTCACTGCCCGGGTGTCCACCATATCGCTGCCCTCCGCCTGTGCCCCCGCCGGCACCCAGTGCCTCATCTCCGGCTGGGGCAACACCCTGAGCTCTGGCAGTGAGTGGGACCCCCACTGCTTCACCCTCTGACTTCCCCGCATCTCCCAGAACCAAGCATGCCCCTGAGCTTGAACCCCTCTACACTCCGAGCTCGGGGCTGGGTGCTAGAAAGAGGCAAAGCTTTAAGGAGTGGACTCCCTAGAATCGAAATATCGGACAAATATAGCCCTTTCTACTGTCATATCCAGGGAGGGGGTCAGCAGCGATCATTCTGGGAACCGAACCCCATTGTCCCTCACTGGGGCTTACGTGCCTGGAGTCCTCCCCTGGCCGCCGTCCGTGTTCAGCACTGGATGGCTGTCCCCTCTCCTGGCCTGACTCCCGTTTTTCCTTTCCTTGATCTCTTCCTGCTCCTCAAAGCCAACTACCCCGAGCTGCTACAGTGCCTGGACGCCCCGCTGCTGAGCCAGGACCAGTGTAAAGCCGCCTACCCCGGGCAGATCACGGAGAACATGGTTTGCGCTGGCTTCCTCGAGGGAGGCAAGGACTCCTGCCAGGTGACTCGACCCCTTCCCACGCTGAGACCCTTGCCCAGCAGCAGGAACACCCAGCCAGAGCTGTGGGGTTGGTGGAGGAGGGCTCCGTGCAGTGGACTCGTAAAGAAGCGAGGAAGGCTTGTCTGTGTGACAGTCATCTTCGAGTGAGAACAGAGAACGGGCCACCATGGGAGGGGTGCAGAACCACAGATCTGACCAGAACGCAGTCTTTTAAGGTTCAGACTGTGTGTGGCTCTAGTTACCCTTTTTTCCTTTCTAACCCTTGTCCCGTGTGCCTCCTCCCCAGGGTGACTCTGGTGGCCCTGTGGTCTGCGGAGGAGAGCTCCAGGGCATAGTCTCCTGGGGCTATGGCTGTGCCCAGAAGAACAAGCCTGGCGTCTACACCAAGGTGTGCAACTTTACAGACTGGATTAAGGAGACGATAGCTGCCAACAGCTAAAGCCCCCAGGCCCCCTGCCATCCATATCCTAATAAAGTGAGCCTCGCACAACTGCCTGTGTCTGCACCTGCTCCCTCCTGCCCCCTCGCTCCCATCTGAGGCCAGACAGGGCTCTACCCCTTAGAGACGAACAGAATGCCCCAGTTCCCGAGATATGTTCCATGGAATACTGGTTTAGCAGCATGTGAAGAGAAGGAATCTAAAAACCTACAAGTAGGGGGCAATGGGGGGCTATTTACTAGAGAACAATACCTTGCAGAAGGCTGTGCTAAAGAGGTTCCTTGATGTTGGGACTCCCCCGGGTCTGGACTGCAGGGCTCGTGTGGGGCCACACAGGTCCTAGTTTGCAGGGTCTCACTACCTCCTTTCACTGGGACCCAGAGCTAATCACCTCAGAGACCCTTGCGCCAATCTTCTTGGCCTCTGCTGAGCCCCCTGTACACATACGCTTTCTAGCCCAGGTCGTACTGCCTCCCGGCAGCAGAAGGCCACACTGGACCCTCCTCCCACAACGTGCTCCTGTGTCTAAGGGAGACAACAGCCCCCACACTCTGCAGAAATCTGCCTCTTACTCATCCCATGTAATGAGACCCACAAGTGTCTACCACACTGGGCACGTTACAGACATTTTTATATCTGGTCCCTTCTTAACTCTGAAGTGGTTACTATTCCAGTGGTACAGACAAGAAAGCAAAGGCTCAGAGAAGGTTGTTGGCTTATCAGGCCCCTCCTCCAGCAGATAGTAAATCTGGACTTGGGCTCCTCGTTAGCCTGGCCCCGAAGCCTGTGCTCTCTCTACCCACCTCACTGTCTCTCCTGCTGCTGCTGGGGTCTGAGACGCTACCTGGCCGTGGGCTCTGATCTTTCACGGACTTGCGGGCCATTCTCTGCCTCCCTGTGCTTCACGGGGGCTCTGGTCCCTGACCATCTCCCAGCACTGCAGTCACAGAGGTCCTGCATGTGACATTGGCTCCCGACCTCCCACAACTTCTAAAATACACCCTGAGCTCTTTACCCTGCAGATGGGAGGGTCTTCCTTCTCTGCTCCGCCTGTATTTCCTTCCTCGGTCTCTCTCCACTCCTCTCCTCTCCTCTCTGTCTCTGCTCCTGTGCTCAGAGATCCTGGTGGCTCCTCCGACACACCACGGACCTCTCACCTCTAGCTCTGCGTGTTACTGGTCCAGCTGGCTTGATGCTTCCCACCTGCCCCTTCGCCTTCTTTAGGAAAGTCATTTCTGAGGCCTCCTGCTCCGGGATCCTCCTCCCCCAGCCCTGTGTTGGCCCCGTTGGCCCTATAGTCTGAGGGAGGAGTCCTCCTCCTCCTCCTGCCACATGCTTACAGCGGTCAGTCCTGCTCCTGCTGCCTAGCAATTGTGGTTGTATCTACTTGGCCTTCAACGGTGAGCTCCTTAGGCAAGGAGCTTGTCTTACTCATCCTGGCACATTTAGTGATTACACAACATCTACAATAGAATAGGCACCCAGTGGTTGAATGACTCAAGTATGAGCTAGGACTGGAGGGAAATGTACAGAAGAAAGAAAGCGCCTTCTCCAAGTGCAGACCGGGGGACCGGCGGCACCAGCATCCCCTGGGAATTTAGGAGACATACAAATTCTGGCGCCCCTCCCCCATCTCCTGAGTCAGAAATTCTGCGATGGAGCTTGGCCTCTTGCATTTTTACAAGACTTCCAAGTCCTTGTGACGCACGCTAAAGCGTGAGAACCAATGCAGCAAAGGTATCCCTAGGCCAGTGCTCTCCGTGAAAGCAATAGTCCCTAACGCGTTTGCTGACTATATTCAGCCACCATAATGAAGCTTTATGTGTATTATCTGATTCAGATCTCTCAAGAACTCCATAAGGTAGGTGGTATTATTGTTAAAGGGGCTTGGTAACCGGCCCAGGGCCTCACAGACATAAGAGGGCCTGGGGTGGGTGGGAGTCCGGGCAGTCTGGCTCCAGGAGGCGGGCTTCCTTGAGGGGTGGAGGCCTCAGTGCCCTGCAGTGGCCACAGCAGAGCCCTAGAACTTAGGGAGGGCTGGGTGTCAGTGCCAGCTGTCACTTCATTATGTATGTCTTGGGGCGACTCATTTAGCCTCTTCAGATTTCAGTTTCATCTGAGGAAATCAGGAGACACATTTGGGGTTTAGATGAATCTAGAACTCACTTGAAAAGTTTCAAGAATTACACACATGTGAGATGCAATTTGTTTATCTGCTTCCCACATCTCAGCCTTGAGAAAGGCAGGCAGGTAACCCAGTTTCCCGCTGGGGGCGGGGGCGGGGGGGGGGGGTCCCCTCCAGCACGAACCACATTCTTCTCACGCCCTCAAGTGGCCACGCTGAGATGGCAAGGACTTCCGTCTAAAATAAATAAGGACAGGCTGCCCCCTGCTGCCCAAGATGATGAATGACCCCACTGGAACCTGCCTAACCAGCTAAACTCTCACAGCGAGGGGGCGGGGGGAAGCTTTGGGACACCTTGGCGACTCAGTCGGTTAAGCAAGTGTTGGACTCTTGATTTCAGCTCAGGTCACTTCTTATGGTTTGTGAGATCAAACTCTGAGTCAGGATCTGCACTGACAGAGCAGAGCCTGCTTAAGATTCCCTGTCTCCCTCTCTCTCTGTTCCTTCCCCGCTGGCTCACACTGTCTCTTATTCTCTCAAAAATAATAAATAAACCTTAAAAAAAAAAAAAAAAACAACTTCACGGGCATTTACGCACACT